TGGTCGACGCCGAGGTGGACGACGACGACGAACCAGAATCACCACTGCCATCACCCAGGGCCTTGACTACGGTGTCAATAAATCCATCATTTGCATATGCCTGTGTTACATCCCACATCATAACACCGCCGAAACTCTCGAACTTCTTCGAGTACTCGATCACATCGACCAGCTGGTCGGCTGGGATGTATCCCGTGCTGGCGGCGGTTGTATCGGCGGGGACACCAATGATGACCTTGACATCCTTGTTCTTAGAGACGGTCTTGGCCCAGTTATCCCATTCTTCGAAGTTATACTTGGAGCTCGTGGCATCCTTGTTGAAGTTGTTGACGCCGCAGTAGTTGTTGTAGAACTGCACCCAGATGGCATCGATATCCACGGGGCCGTTGAGAATGTCCTTGTCGGCTTGGTCAGGGTATGGGCATTGAGGGGCAGCAGTCAAGAAGTATTTTCTATCGGTCTCTTTGTTCATCAGGGCGCGGAGCTCGTTGGCGAAGGGGGCCATGTGCGTTACGCTGGATTCGAAGTCGAAGTCGAATCCATCGAGGGCGGCATCATCAAAGGGACGCTTCATTTTGGAGCCTTCCTTGACGGGACCAAAGGTCTCCCACATCAACTGAGCTCCAGCTTTTGCATCATCCTCGCTCTTGAAGCCGCCCTCGCTGTAAGTGGCACCGCCGATGGACAAGAGAATGGTTTTTCCCTTCTCTTGGCACTTTTTGATGTCCTCACTGCCGAATGTTAGTTTGTCGCAGGGGTTGTATCACCGGTCATACGTACCCAATCTTTGGGCAGTGCTTCAGTTGAGTCCCCTCAAACACTTCGCAATCCTGAGATGTGACAGCAAAGTCAATCTCGGGAGCACCACCAGGTCCGTTGATCATCATGTCGAATGCGATGGGAAGAACCTATATCTCTCTGTTAGCTATCCCGATTAGACTTCCTGGCTCAAATTTTCATACGTCGATATTGTCATCTGTCAGACATGTTAGTTTCGATGTCTTGATGTCTGCCATGCCTCCAATTACTCACCCTCGCAGTAATGGCCCAGTGGCTTCTGGTTCTCTCCGCCCTTTCCTTGCAATGAGTTTTGACCTTTTAAACGCAGTCTTTAGTCAGTAACATTATTTTGCTCCTGTCGTGATTTCTCTCTTACCCCAGTAAACAACAACGTTAGAACTCGAGTTCAAGTCAAGCTTTGCTTGAGCTCCACCCAAGGAGGCCAGCAGCAAGGACCAGGAAATGTACGTCTGAGAGCGACGCATAGTGCTGTTAAATATAAAGAGTGGCTAATATAGTTGAGAGGTTTCGAGTATTAAAGAAAGAAAGAAATGAAACTATAACCCTAGAAGGAACGGCGGGATCAAAGCCCAGGAGAAAGGTCGAAATGTCGTAAACGCGCGAGATAACACGCGCAGGAACCCTGTGACAAGGACACCTTAAATAGGAGCCGCCGAGGCATTTTGCCTACCAGTCTGCATGCCACTGAAAAAAACAATCCACCTGGTTCGCTGCGTCATTTGGCCGCACTGGCTCTCATCCCGCATGGTATGGGCCGCAATGTCCCCCCCACCAGCAAACCGAACAACAAAGGCTCACCCCGGCCGGAGGGGAATTGCTTGCGTGGATCATTGATGTTAAACTGGAATATTTTCCCTGTGTATTTTCATTGGTTTCTCCCTCCACTTCCGCAGGGCAGTTTGCATTCCGGTGTGGTTGTCAAGGGGCGGGCTGGTGATCTGGGAATGTTCGTCCAGAAGCGCAAGAATCGACCACCAAACATGTTCTAGGCCGTCTCAAATGTTGATTCGGATTGCAATTATTGCCAGGTTTGAAGCTGATTAACTTGAATTATTTGAGGCTCATCTCCGAAAATTGTAGTTCTCCATCGCTAGCCTCCATCAAAAAGAGCAGATAACGTCGAAAAATTAATTATATTCCAAGCTTCCCCCTCGAGCATTGACCTTGAGATTTTGCAGAGGGGGTTTATTCTTCCTATGTACAGTGTTCGACTTCAAAGGAAGCAAGTTTAACTGCTAGTAGTACCTCAACTCGATCGCATCAACTCAAGAAACCATCTATGATAGCGAAATCCCATATGCCGGGGTAATACTCGGTGTTATGAAGGGTGCCCTTTGTAAAGATCCACGAGTTTCCTAGCTCGATAAGCCGCGTCTGTAAACATTCGAGCAGCCAGTAGATGGAACTCCTCAAAGGAAGCTATGTGATCGTATTTTTCGGTTACCAGCTCACTTATGTCAACGAACGCCTGGTTCATTTTAAATATCTCGAGGAACATCTCCTCGAGAAGAAAATCATTCTCCGCGAGATGTTTGGGAAGTTCTCTATTTCGGGCCGGGTTGGATTGGTTGGATGGAATTAATGGGTTATATGGTGGAGGGGGATCACCGTCGCCGCGGGCGATCTTTGCTTTTTTGCTTTTGCCAAATGATTTAAACATTTTTGGAAAGATTAGACGATTCTTGCGGAGTAAGACTTGGCTCAAGTGAGAGATGGCAAGTGTTTGAAATGGGAGAAATCTGGGTTTGCAAGGTTGGATTTCTATGGGAAAGGAATTTTGACTATCTCGGCTTCGGCAGCCATATTGAGCAAGCCGCCGCCTGATATGTCGTAGTGGTTACTCTGTGGTGACATGTCGCGGTATGTACTAGTAACTACTACACCAAAGTGAGCGATTCCAAGGTAATTGAATGGGAGTGGACCTCCATACCTTTTTTTCAGCGAGCCCGTAACTTGAACGAGCCTGGGTTGTTACCATTGTTGATGCCTGGCCTAGATGGCATCCACGCCTCCTTTATCTAGCTTTCGTCCTTTTTCTCTCTCTCCTCAAGCTATTACTTTCGTCGAACCGCTACTACTTCACTGCATGATTCTCTATGATACTTTTTGATCTATGAGTATCTGAGCATCCTCACACTTGAACACCAGCCGCAGCCGTGATCTACCAAGATAGATCCCCAACAAAGTCCGTTATATAGTAAACGAACTTCGTCTACTATATAGCCCCTTGTCAGGGTCTGTCTAGCACATACGACCATAGGGTGTGGAGAACAGGGCTTCCCGTCCGCTCAGCCGTACTTAAGCCACACGCCGGCAGGTTAGTAGTATGGTGGGTGACCACATGCGAATCCCTGCTGTTGTATGTTTTTGTTTTTTCTTCTATCTTTGGCTTGCTTTGTCTATACAGGCTCTAATTGGAATTTTTTGGGCACCGTATTACGAACAGTCTGGTAGCGTGTCAGTGATCACTATTGAAACTTCTAGTAGGATATTTGCCAAGCGCATCCCTCACCCTCCTTCATTGTTTTCGGCTCTTTATGCCCGTTTTACAGAATATTTCGGTGTGAGGTCATATTTTTACATTTTAATTATCTACCCTTGGTCGAGGAAGTGCTCGCGTAATGGATTCTGTCTAAAATCGAAAGTTTGGGTTGAATATTTATTTTGACATTATTGAGGCGTGGGCGCGCATCGCTAGGGATAGTAACTAGTAGGCATATAGACCTCCTGGATTGTTGCCGTGTCTATAGGTAGAGTGGCCGCCACAATTATCTGGGTTTGTGGCCACGCGCCGGAAGGCCATCATTGCCACGGCCACAGGCAGATCTGAGATTCGGTTGGAAAGGGCCAATGGCCCTAGGATGTTCCAAGCACCTAGTGGTCAGGAATTTCGAAATCATAGTTATCGTCCAGGGGTTTTGTCTGTTTAGTATTAGTAGTGGTTTGAGGATGCTTGCACTGTAGGGTAGGACCGAATGAAATTTTACTTGAACTTTAGAGTAGTTGACGGATATATATTCGGTACATTTTACTATATACTACTAGATCCTTAGGAGTACAATCTCGAAGCAAGGCCTGAGTACAGTCCTATAGGGTATTTTATAGGCGGAATACGACTGGAACTCTGGACGAAAAATAACCATAGAAGATGACCTCGATGCCCATCTACCGTAAGGTAAATCATTCAACGTGTTGGCCACTTCGTTCCAATACTTGCCCCTGCCAGATTAGCTCTTCCCAAGGACCCACCTTTGTCTAAGACGCGTGGCCTTATGGATCCAAAGATCCGACCGATGTTCCAACAAGCACGTCTCCGTGGCGCAATTGGCTAGCGCGTTCGACTGTTAATCGAGAGGTTGGAAGTTCGAGCCTTCCCGGGGACGTCTCTTTTTGCTTCTTCTCCATCTGTGATGGAAGGTATTTTTTGGCGGGCTGACGGGGGAGGGTGGGGATGAATGGAATGGCCTAATTTTTGTGTGTTCTGCGCTGTGCTTGCGCGGCTGGAAAACCCAATTGGCGGCACCATTGACGAATCTGGTTAGGGTGGCAATTGTGTGACTACCAATCGCGGAGAAGGTAGTGTATTTAATTTTGGCGGTGATTGGGATTCATCGATTTCTTGGATTTATCGCGGGGTTTAATAATAAGCGACTTGGATTGATCCTGACCCTAGGTCTAGAGATTATATCAGGGCTCGGAAGGTGAAGTTTTAATTCCAAGGTTTGAATCTTGGAAAGTTATGAACTCCAGGGCTTGAATAGATCCATCCTGGTAGTATTGGATTTCGTTGCTATATATTCATCATAAACGCATGACACATTAACTCATAACCATGAGCGATCTTAATATTATACAATAACCGCCTGCCCTGTCTCACCGGAATGCGGAATTCCACAAGTCTCTGGCAGGTTCATCTCTCGACCGACAGACGAAGAAAAACCGCTCTAATATTGGAACCGCACTATCCCAACCTTCCAGCCCTAATTGGTCTGCAGCATCCACGAGGCGAGTCAGAAACCACGGATGGCATCTCATTCCTCTGGACGCAAGACTGCCTATGAAGAGAGACCAAAACAGTAGGTCGGGAGCAGTACTTTGAATCACCGGAAGACTCCCGAGTAGGCTTTGTCGTAGCGTCTCGGTATGAGCTTCCAAACAAGCCATGCCGTAAAAGCTCCAAACTCTTATAGATGCGTAGGTCAAAATTGTGAGTCGCAGCGTTTCTTGAAACGGCGAGAGCTCACACTGATATGGTAGAGCCAGTAGCCGATAACCCAAAAATAGTAAACAGTCATTTTCAACGGACATCGGTTCGGCAACGACGATGTCCAAGTTCTCGTAATAGGTCACCAGCTGCTGGAACAAGGAAATAATCGACTTGAACATGGGCGGAAGATCTATCGACCATGGTGAGTCGAGGAAACTGGTGCCGAGCTTGGAGAGTTTGGATTGTTTTGTAAATCGGCTGTTCAGTTTGAAAAAGGCGGACTCTTTGAATACTCTGTTCTGGAATTTAGAACACATGTAGAGTGCCGGTGGTGATTTAGTTATCAGTCCTCGAACGAAAGCGCAGCTGTGAAAGGATCATTAGATGTGTCCTAAAATCGAGGTACATACTCTTATATGGTATGCAGGAGCCGTGGGTTTTACCTATAAACCATAGCCAGTAGGCCAAAATCAAGAGCATCCAGTCCACCTGCCCCGGCAATTATTTTATCCATACCATTTATATGTGCTTCGACGGCCTCGACATTGCCTTCCATACCCTGGATTGGTGTGAGCAGGTAGCCTCCAACAGGACCCGAGAGCCGAACTCGCGAGAAGGGTCGGTGACAGAAGTTCTTACCTCTGCGACAATAAGATGAGAAATAATAAAGATGGTTGAGCCAGTGTATATCTTGGCTTTATGTTGCAATAGCTCCTGGACTGATTTGATCGTTCCAACGCGGAGGCGAAGTGCATCCTGTGCGGGCTTCCGAATCATGTCCGGCGGAGCACCACATGATTCGAGAATCGCAGCACGGTGAGATGCGCTGATTGATAATTTAATTTGCATCAAGGCGGGATCTTCGAGGGCCTTTTGCCAAAACCAGACTACCACCCCGCTGGAGCAGAGAGGGAAGCACGATCTTGAGCTATGAATTCGATCTGAATTAACGTGTTAACTAGAGTTCCACTTGGCAGATGAGGACAGACGGAAATGAATCAAATTCAAAGTTGGGTGTAGATTAATGCTGGATAGGACTGGACTGGACTGTGATCTTGATGTAGGTAGTAGATACTCACAATGTTGGAAGTAAATATTTGGATTTTGGTCAATGGCGACAGCCAGAGCAGGACTTCCATCGAGGACCCCAGCCCCGATGGAGTTAACTATTAATGGGCGTTGCTGGGCCGCTTGATAGTGGTTGCGACATTCCAGCACATTATCATCGTAATCTTCTTCATGCTTGGGCACACGAGTAGTGTTTCTCGCAGGGTTGGTGGCCGTAGTAGAAGAGGTAGAAGAAGTAGAAGACGTAGTAGAACTTGAATCGGACGGTGAGGGACCCTGATGATCGGTAGGGGGTTTTAATTGTTGCAGCTGCTTCTCCCTTCGCATGCGATGATGGCGGGTCCTTACGAAAGCTTGCTTAGAACGGGATAATTCGCGGCCTTGGGACTTATCATCCTGATAATCTACCCAGAGGAAGTCGCCTGGGGGCCGGATGACTAAATTCTTTGTCTTGGTATCCGGGGCATCCTTCACAAATTTGGGTTGCTTGGGTGGGACTCCCACACCGAGTCCTTCCCGGCTTGACTGGGATCCCGGCTGGTAGTGCTGACCGGACGGCATGACTCGGGTCGACAAGGATATTGTGTACTCCCCCAGCCTTACTCAGTCGCAAATGGGTGATGATCGGAGAAGCTAGTTGTGAGGTTCGAATGAAAAATTGCCCCCTGACGCCCCGCTCGGACCTCTCCGGTGCGGTGCGGTGGTGTGCAAGTGTGTTCGTTACATCTATGTGGGGACCATTGCGAAGCTGGTACAGCCTATCGTAGCGAGCAGGGGAAGAATGGATTAAGCAGGATTTGGTGAAATCTTGTACGGAGTAGAGCGGGTTATGATGTTGCCCAGGTGGAGAGTATTTCAAGGTTCAAGTTTGCTGGACGTAAAAGGTAAAAGGTAAAAGGTAAAGGGAGTGTGACTATTGAAGCGTGCGGGGAACAACTTTGACTTCCCAACATTCGGAAGATTCTCGGCTAAAAGTATTTTAAGCTATGATGCAATAGTTTCCGCCACTTCTCAACAAGCAAGTCTCCGTGGCGCAATTGGCTAGCGCGTTCGACTGTTAATCGAGAGGTTGGAAGTTCGAGCCTTCCCGGGGACGCTTATTTTTTGTTTTTTATATATATCATTTCATTTACTTTTAAAGTATGTTGATATTTTTGTTGTTGGGGTCATACCCGGAGTTAGAACCAAAAAAAAAAATCATATCTATTATTACCCAAGACAAACCACCGCAAAAAAACCAGTGTGTCACTATCAAATTGTGGCTATTAGAGCGAGAGGGGAAAGGGACCGGTCCGCAAAGACAAAAAAAAAGAAACATAAGAACTTAAAGCAACAACAATCGGAATATAGACAGCTGAAGGGGAGTCAAGTGCAAAAGGAGACTAAAAAAGTGTCATTCAGGGGAGTAACCCCGGATCTCAAATAAACAAGCGAAACCAAAGGGGGAATCCAAAAGAATTCTCAAGTCAAGACGGGTAATACACAAGCGAAAAGAGCAATAACATACAAAAAAAGTCACAAGAGGTCGACTGCAGAGTCCAAAAGAATAGAGAAGAGAAGAGTACATCCAATGTAAAGGAGACGTAGTTCCTGCTAGGAGAGGAATGGCGAACAACCAAAGCTTGGCTTTGCCCTAAATGAAACAAACCATTTGATGGAACTTCAATTCCATGCTATCAAGGAAAACCCATACATCCCTCTATAAACGACCATGTATAGAGAGAAATTAAGGAAGAATAAAGATTCACAGAAAGATTTCAACAATAAAAAAAGTACATACTCATAGTAATCCTGTAAAACCAATCGGTAATATCATCAACGCCAGGTCAAGTCAAATTCAGTCAACGGGAAAACGCCGAATGCGACAGGAACAAAGTGGAGAGAAATGGACACATAAGAATAAAAAGAGCAAAACGGGTATCTCGATCGAGAATCGAGCCCAAGCGGGTACAACAAGAGGGTATAGGGAGGTTGGCCCGGATTAACATTATCGAAGAACTCCCCCTCTTCGTCGAGGGATTTGCACACAAGCAGATACGATATGCAAGGGGGCGTCAGAAAGAGAAGAACATACACAACATCGAAACGTGACCAAAAGGAACAAAAGGAAAGGAATGGGGGAGAGCAAGGGCCAGAAATCAAACAAAAGGGGCGTCTCTGTGATGCTGAGATGAAAACGGAGAGGAGTATCAAGTCCCTTGGAAAATGCCCATTCTAGATAACGCCAAGCTGGAATCTAGTATCCTGACCATCCTCCAAGCGGGCTGCCTGATTGACCTGGCTGGGGTTGACCGGGCTGCATGGCTCCGCCAGGCCCAGTGCCAGGTGGCCACCCAGGCATACCAGCAGCCCCCATGTTGACCGCCATACCGGAGTGTTGTTGAGGTTGGCCCATATAGGCTTGTCCGCCAGGGCCGGCTTGACTCGAGGGGTACATCCCTCGCGGCATCGCGGGGTATCCAGCAGGGGCTCCGCCAGGGTACATTTGTCCCATGGCTTGTTGTTGCGCTTGCGGATGTTGCATCTGAAATTGTTGCTGCATCTGCGGCACAGATGGGCGGTGTTGGTTGCGGGGAGATTGGTGAGGCTGTTGGGCATGGTGGATTGGTGATGGTGCCTGCTGGGGAGCAGCTGCCATTTGCTGGGCATATTGAGGCATGCCGACACCTTGGGCGCCTGAAGGTATGGGTGAGGGTTGTGGTTGCGGAGGAGGTTGACCCCACATCTGCTGCTGTTGCTGCTGCTGCTGCTGCGAAGGATACCCGTAAGGGGCCTGCGCTACACCGGCGGGCATAGATGGGTTGGATCGTTGGTGCATGAGGTCGGGTCGCATGCCCGTCGGGATACCTCGAACGGGAGACTGCGCAATAGCTTGTTGGTGCTGATGTTGGGCGTAAGCTTGCTGAGCCATCATGGGCTGTTGATGATGGGGCATCACAGGCTGCGCCTGAACAGGGTTTGCTATTCCTGCGGGAGGAACCTGAGCAGTTTGAAGAGGTTGCGATACAGAAAGACCGGAATCGAGAGCGGTGCTTGACTGTGGCTGATCCGTTTCAGGTGCTTCCCGTGGTTTGCTGTAGAATTCTTCGAGCCCTTTCAAGCGGAGGTTTCGTTGAGCTCCCAGAGCCCGGTTGAAGTCGGCGGCAGTCTGAGCCTGGTGAATGATTTCTGCGCCGGTACTAGTTTGCGTGCGATCTTGATAGGGTTGACCTGTTAATTCCTGGCGCGCCTGTTGATGTGACATGTAGTCCCGTAGACGATGGTCGTCTGTCGTCGCCATATGGATCATGGGGAGTTGTCCCAGGGCAGTAGCATCAGTCACATCTAACGAGAGACCTGGAGGCAGGGCCTCGACGACACTGCTGAAGATAACATCGTTATGTGGGAGTGCCGGTAGCGTATTGTGACGTTCAGTTTCGGTGGCTGCTCCATCCCTAGTCTTAGCAGCACCGGGACGCTTCTCGCCTGCCATATCTTCTTCAGTGAAACCCTGTTTCCTGGCCTTGCTCTCCCAATAGTCATCCCGAACCCGTCGACCGTTGGCAACCACTCGACTACCGAACTGGCGGAACATGGATCTAGCAGACACGATCGCAATTTGGCGAGATCGATAAGAATACGGAAGGATATCCTGCTGGATCAGGTCGTCTTTCTCGATCTGAGATGCGATAATCTTGTGCAAAGATCGATTTTTGTTGAACAGTAGGTACGAATCACGGTAGTTCAAGACCCTCGCGCACTCTGTCGCCAGCATGAAGAGCTTTTCGCCTCGGTTGGGTACACGGAATGTCCGACACTTGTATTCACGATTTCCCTGCGGATATCCCATAGCATCCACCTTTGTCTCTCCTGCTTCATCGAATTCCTTGGGGATATATTCATCGCCTTCATCGTTCAACTGGTCGGAAGTGTGGTCTCGGACGGTCGGAAGTGCCTTTACTAGTGTCTTTGTCGGTGTTACCTTATCCGGAGGCGAAGCGAGCTGTGGTGACCCGGCAGACTGATGAGGAAGCGGCCGGGCTTGCATCTGCGGCGTTTGTATCGGGGTGCCTGTGGTCGGATGCTCGCTGGAGCTTGCTCGCGGCGTCTTTGGGGGACGACCGCGCTTGCGACGGCTGTGGTCCTCTGTTTGAAGAAGGAAAAAAATAACGAGTTAGTCCAGCCCACCGAAAGAATCTAAAGCCAAATGCGACCGAACAAAAGAACATGACAAGCGACAGAAAGATGCGGACACGATGGCTTTTCGAAAGGCAACACGACAGCACATTCTCTGCCCATGAGGCACGTACCATCATCCTGATCTCCTTCTGTATGTCCATTTCCACTGTGATCAGGGGTGCGACTACGCTTGACACCACGGGGACTTGGTTCAGCAGGGGATGGTGCCGGTAGACCAGAGACTAGCGGGGTATCAGTTTGAAGGCGGGCGACAGGGAAATGGTGATAGAATGCAAAAATATGGTCAAGGGAAGTTGCGCGCACGCGATCTAGGACGAATCGCAAGAAAGCGATCGTGTGCGTGCGAGGGGGTCGGGGGTTTGCGCCAAAGATAAGTCGCGATAGAAGCAAGATCGAACACGATGGCGCGAAAGGGGACAAGAACAGAGCGCAAAGAGAAACAACTAAACATACCAGAGTTGCTCAAATTTGCCGGATCGATGGTTCCCGAGCCATCAACGACCTCTCCTCCCATTCCGTTCATCGTGTTGAGAGAGTGAGGCGTGCCATACATAGTCAAAAGGCACGGGAGTCGGACGGCAGCGCAGGCCGCGAGAAAGCGCGTCGAATATGTCGCGATGGAGGGGGAGGAGAAACGCGCAAGAAAGCGGGTAGGGTTAAGCTTGCATGCAGCGAAAGCTCCGGCCTCTTGAGGTCGATCGGCGGGAAAGGTTGGAGGTCAAACTGGAGCTTTTGGATGTGGTTGATGGCTTTGGGTTTGAGAGGGGCGAGGCGGTGAGAGTTGGTGCCTGAAAGCCTGAATTTTCTGCCTGATTCACGTGTGGCACGTGAGAGCACGTGAGTAATATATACTTCACTCTTGATACTTTGATAGAGGTCGATATTTTGGGCCTCAGGCTGTCGATATTCTGGAACCTGTGGATATTCTGGATATGCCGCTACCAAGGCTATCTTGTATCCACAGGGCCTGCACCGGGTCCTGTGAAAAGATGGAATACCGTGAGGAGGGGAACGTGGATAGCGTCGCGTGATTGGTCACGAGGCTGGGGAAGTATGATTAATGGTCGCCGTAGGTATGAATAATGAATAATAAATAATGAAGAAAATAATAAGTATCAAATCCCGCTAGCTCATCATCCGCCCAAAAGACGGGCACGAGCAACAAGGCGGGATCTGCCGAGCCCAGTGCATAGGAATGATCGGATATTGGTGCCTTGAAGGATTCAATCTGGGAGCAAGTTCCTTTTGTTCTAAGAAACGTGCCGGGTTGCGGGTATGGCGCGCGGCGTCGGGGCTGGAGGGGTAAAAAAGACAAATGAGATCGTCGTGAAACCGGGCTTTGCACCTCTTAACTCGGTTCTTCGTCTTTTTGGGGCTTATTC